AAAACATTTCCCCAAATACTAATGACTCTATTAGCAATTGCTTTATCCGCAATCCAGCATGGGACTCCAATAATAAATTAGAATCTGTTTCTTTTAAAGTATAGGATTCATAGACTCATCATAGGAGGACACAAAAAAAATGGTGATAGTTGAACTCCTTAAATAATGCAATTCCAAATTTTATTGAATAGCCACATTTTTTTCTACTCATTGAAAAACCTTTAACAATTTTGCAATCTGTAAACCAGTATACGATCTAAGTAAATAGAGTGACACAACAATCTTTAAAGTCCACAGTATTTTTACATTAAGAGTGCAGGCAAAAACAATGTACAATTCAATAGATTTGGGAATCTTTGAAGGTGCTTCAAACAAAATTTTTTTTTACAATAAATGGCGTATACTCAGTATGCAAATAGCTGCATCTCAAAGATTAACCTGTAACCTTAAGCATATGTTCTAGATCCCATGTTTCATCAATAACATATTTTTTCATTAAAGTTCTTAAATTAAATATAAAAATATTAATAAAACTATAATGTACTTGTCTATATTCAAGAATGTACTTATTTTCATTTTAAAATAAACTTGTAATCAATAAAGAGATCCTTAAGTCCGGTGACAACAATCAATATAAAATATTTTACTTTAAGAAAAAAAATGGAATGCCTATCATGTTGTTTATCTGTTTCGGAGATCAGAAATTAGTTTTATTATTGCGATTTAGGAAGATTACAATCCATAGTTCTTCTACCCTCACCTAAATTAGTGGTTTTTATCAGTTTTCCTTTTCCAAGGTAAGTTGCCTTTCCCTTGGCTGAGGAGTCCTAAATATAAAGCTATACTATGAGTTAATACTATGAAACAGGTTGTACTGGATTACATGCTACCAGTAGCAGGGTGACCTGACCTGACTGTAATAAATTATTTAACACAATCTTAAACAAATTTTAAAAATGTATTTTAATTATTTATTAAACTGATATAATATTTTAATAAATGCTAAAATTTAAACTATCTTTTTAAAAGGAGTGATCTGACCTGACTGATTGCAATAAATTCATATTCTACAACTTACACTGCAAACAAATATTTTTCAAAAAGGACTTAGACTAGACATACTTGTTTTTTCCTTTGCAAATACCCTAAAAATATCACGAGTAGAAAAAAATTAAAGATCAATTTAAAAAGTTCCATGAATTTTCCATGACTTTCAATGAAAACTTATGAACTCCATTACTTTTTCCAAGACCAAAGTTCTATGACATTTCCATGATTTGCATGATTTCCATGACCATGGTCACCCTGAATAATATAACAATGATTGCAGCCATAATACCACTGGAAATAACATCACATCATTATTTGTATTTCCACGTGTTAAATTAAAAGAATTGTCCTCCTGGAAGTGTAGGAGCAGCTAATAAGTCTGGATGTTCAAATGATGTCATTTTTTTTTCCAATTTGTTGAACATTTTATCATTAAATGTACAACCATTAATAAAAAAACCTGTTTTTTTTTTTATCGATAACCATAGTAAAGAAACCATGAGAGTCATGCAAACATTTCTGTTATTGAGTTAGCAAAAAAATCAGGCATAATTATTATAACATTTTATCCTCACACAACCCATAAAATGCAATCTCTTGATCATGGTTTGGACCATTTAAAAATTTTTATAAAAAATGTTATTATTAATTAGATAATATCATCAAGCAAAACTGGTAAACAAGTTGAAATGATATATCTTACTTTGTTGGTCAACAACTTTTGGTTGGTGGAACTAGAGATGGTTTTTGCAGCAATCAGTGAAATGAGAAAGAAATGAAATTGAAAGAAATGACTTTATGGTGATGAGAGAAAACCCAAGCTGGGCATATAGCAGGTCTAACTACATTAACAATGAACTTTAGAACCTTGTCTAAAAGAGAATGAGAATCAGTAGAAGAACCAGCCCAATTATGACAACATTATTCCATAGACAAAAGAATAAAGGATTTGTAGAGGTAGAGAATAGAATCAGGAGTAAGATGATGGCGAGCAAGATAAAGAGAAACAAACTTAACAGATGCTAACAGAAATATGACAACAGTATTTCATACAGAGATGAATAAAAGATTCGTAAAGTGTAGAAGTATGGAATCAGGAGTGAGAAAATAGTGAGGATGATAAATAAAATAGTGAGGATGATAAATAGAAACATTAGCAAATGCTAACTTTGCAATCCATTGTCTGTTTCCATGGTTTCCATGAGAGGTCAGTAGTGAACGATGTAAAAGAGATGTAAAAGAAGACGAAGGAGTTGCAATTCATCAATTTAGAAATGTAGACAGTATTGCAATAGTTGCTTGCAGTATATAACTGAGTTTTGTTCAAGTTAAAATTCAAAACCACTGCAAGCCCCAATCTGTTACAGAAATGAGATTAGATATAAGATAAGCTGCCTGTTCTAAGCAATCAAAATAGAGCCATTTTAGATGCAATGTCGTCACAAAGACCATTATTGTAAATAAAAGCAAAACAAGACAAAGGATAGGACCTTTAGGTACCCCACAAGTTACTGAAAATGAAGAAGAGTGTTGGTCTTCGAGGATGACTTTAATAAAACAGTTTGTTTTTTTTTTTTTATTTTAATTCACCTCCTCAAGGCCGAGAAGACCACTACAGACGAGGAGGCTACTTATTTGTGGCTATAACCCTCTCTCAACTCTATAACTCTGAAACACGAACCTTGACGAACAAGGCCGCTGCGCGGAGAAACGAGTTGAGCGCGGTACTACCAGGGACGTGGTGGGGATCGAACTCGGAACCACTCGTTTATGAAGCGAGCGCTCTACCACTACACCACTACCGCAGTTGAAAAGAAAATATTTGATTATCTCAAAAACTTTCCCAGATATACTAAATGAAGCAAGTTATTAGAAATAACTTTTTTAAAAGAGAAAAAAAGAAAAAGGGAAAAGAAAAAATTATTAAATTAAAGCAAAAATAAAATCAAAAAAAAAAAAAATTAAATAAACAAATATTTAAAAAAAAAAAAAAAAAAAAAAAGTATCTGAAAGAAAATAAGTAAAAAAAGTGAAGTAAAAGTATCTGAAAGAAAATAAGTAAAGAAAATAGAAGTAAAAAAAAAGTTTTTGAATTAAATAAAAAGAATGAAAAAGAAATTAAAAAAAAAAAAAAACTACTTAAACATCTATATGAAATCAGGTATAAAAGCAACACGTTGTACCTTTAACTACTTTTTTAAAAGGCTGAAAAAAGATTCTTCTTGGTCCAATAAGAAAAAAGTCTAAAGTATAATTTTTGTGCAAAGTATGAGAGAATAACACAAACTTTGAATTATTTAAATTTATTCAATAAAAAAGGCCCTGAAGCAAAAAAACAGCTAGAAGTTACACTACTTATTAGAGATGTGCCAGGTACCCAGCAACTTTTTCAGCTTGGTAATTTTGGAGGTGCTTTTTAATTTTTGAAGGTGCCTGGCAACCCAGAAACATAAAAAGAGGTGTTGACTACCTGGAAAACCCTGAGTTGTACCGGACACCAGGTTATTTAAAACTATCCGGCAAACATACATAATCTACAGGGTACACATCATCTTCCAGGATTCTTGAGCATTTGAAAAATTTATCAAGCTACTTTAGGGGTAATTAGGCACCTCCAAAAATCACCAAGTACCGAGAATAACAAAAAAATTTGTTATTCTCTTAACTAACTTTAAAAACTTTGCCACTTTAAACTTAATAAACTGACACTTTAAAAATAATAAACTTTGCCACTTTATAAACTAATAAACATTAAAAAAACACAAAGTTCGACCTCTTGCAAGCCTAATTTTTTACAATTTTTGTCAAAACATAACTTTAGTAGTAACTGTTTCACAATATGATGTCACAATTTTTAAGGATAATAGTAGTTATTTCACAATATGATAGTGCTTGTCGCAACTCTTAAGGATAATAGTAGTTGTTTCACAATATGATAGTGCTTGTCGCAACTCTTAAGGATAATAGTAGTTGTTTCACAATATGATAGTGCTTGTCGCAACTCTTAAGGATAATGGTAGTTGTTTCACAATATGATAGTGCTAGTCGCAATGGTGTATCCACAAATGCAATATTTTATGGTACTCCACTTTCCCCTAAAAAATTACATTTTGCTAAAAGCATGCATGAATGTTGCATACATTGTATGATTTTTACAATATAAAAAGCCTTGAGTATGCAGTGCATTACGATATTTCACTAAACAATGTATAAAGCAAATAAACAAAAGGTAAGATAAAAAAAAATCAGGAAAAAAACAGTACTTAATTTTGGAAAATTCGAAACATGTAAAACAGTAAAAAAAAATCTGAAAATTAAAAAAAAAAAATCTAATTATTTTAAAAATAAGTTAAAATTAATTTTATTAAAACAAAAACTAATAAAAATTAAATTGAAAAATTTTAATAAATAAATATAAGAAAAGAGAACTATTTCATGTTTTACTTCATACTTTTAAATATTTTTTAATTGTACTTTTGTTTATTTGATACATGTTAGTATGTTAGTAAGTTACAGTCATCCAAGCTATAGTTACTAACAATGCCATGATATAAAAACAAGTTTGTATCTACGACAACTTCCTGTATGAAGACAAAGTCAAAAGATATTATGCTATAGTCAAAAGAAACAACTGTTACCTCTTTGATGGAGGCCATCTTTAAGATATTATACCTCAGATAAGTACTTAACTGCAAGTCTCAAAGGAGAAAAAGTCACTTAACAGTTGACTTCGATCAAAAAAGCAAACTAAACAAATCAGCAGGGCATGCAGAAAGAATAAACACAAGCAAACTTGTTTGGTAATAAAGTTTTGTTGCCTTTATAGCTGTTTAGTAAACTTGAATCATTTCTATGATTTTATTTTTTTTTCTTTTAACTAAAATAAACTTAAAATTGGGATTTATTTCTTGTCAGTAGATTAAGTTTTAATAATAAAAAAAAATACTGACTTGCAAAATGTGCATTCCAGTCAATGAAACAACCACTAGCTCTTGCATGCCATCTCCTATAATGTCTAAACAATCTGTTGATATAATTGGTTTTGGAAACTCTTTGCGACATGCCAAATAAAAGGAAACTTTTTTGCAACCATACTTTTCTGAGAAATTCCATTTGTACGTCAAAAGTTCCTAGAACAAAAATAACAAACATTGCATAACATTATATTTTTAGTGACTTTTTAAAACCAGGTAATCTGGTAACCAGGTTGATCTGTGCTAAAAATGCTAAAAAATGTTTATAGCAAAATAGTTTTTCATACATTTAAAACTTTGTGCAGTAGAAGTTAAAAAAAACTATGTTTTTAAAATTTAAACCCTTGTACTTTGAAAATTTCAAAATCAATAAAATTTTAATTTCAAAAAAAATTTAGTGTTATCAGCATAAATTTTAGATCATCAGAAAGACATAAATAACAAATAATACTGGACCAAGAACTGAGCCTTGTGGAATTCCGCTCACAACATCAGCCTATTTCGAAATCAATTCACTAAGAAAGACAAGTTGTAATTGGTTAGATAGAAGAGAGTAGCCATTTGTGAATTTTTGAAATTTGTCTTGAATTCCATTATTGAATACTATATCTGAAAGTTCTTTGTGAGGGACTTTGTCAAAAGCTTTTTTGAAGCCAAGGATGATTATATTGACGGGATGTTTGTTTGCAACTGATTCAGTTGCAAAATCAAGTGTTTCTAAGAGTTTTGTTACACAAGCTTTGTTATTAACAAAACCATGTTGACTTGGATGTATTTGCTTACTGCTGATTCATTATAGGACTTTTTATGATGCATTCCATTATCTTCCATGTCACTGATGTAGAGATTGGTCTGTAATTGGCTAGATCTGTTTTATATCCTTTTTTAAAGAGTGGCATAATGATTGGTGTGAAGAGTTGTGTAATAAGTGATGTAGTCCAGTAGTATATTGATGAATGATGTAGTGTAGGAGTGATGATTAATGTGAATGAGTGGGGTAATGAATAGTGTAATGAGCGATGTGTGGTGTAAAGAGTGATGTAATAAGTTTTAAAGAGTGGTGACATAACACATAAATATATGTACAGTCTCTTGCAAAAATTTAGAATTAGTTTAGTATTTTTTAGATAAATCCATAATTTATAGAAAATGGCTTACACAAATAACATACACAAAGCTAAGATTTCATTTATGTTATATACAAACATGTGTATGCATATGACATAAATTAAAACTTAGCTTTGTGTATGTCATTATTAATAAAATATGGATTTATCTAAAAAATACTTATCTGAATAAACTAAACTATATACAGTGACTGTATATAGTTTAGTTTATTCAGATCAAAAAATTGCAACAAAAAATTAAAACCTAAAAATAAAAAATAAAAAGATCGATGAAAGAGGGGCAACACCAGTATCCTATATTCTGACAGTCTTGTGCTGCATACAAATCAGCTATAGTTATAAACCAGAGTTCTTGAAACAGTTGACAAATGTTTCTGTCACACACAAAAATTGAACTTGCCATTTTTTTGAGTGATATTGAATTGTTGAATCAGGTTGTTTTGCCTTCTGCTGTTTTCAAGAGTCTTCGAAAATTATATTTTTAAATCACAAATCTGATCTGCTGAAAGGTTGCTAACTTGGGACAAAAATATCCAAAAAAACTTAACTTAAACAAAATGATATCCTATATATTTTTGAAATACAATTAAAAATTAAGCAAAAAAATTCAGTTAATAATTAAGCAAAAAATTTTGTTGAGTAATTGTGCAAAAAACTGGGTCTAAATAAACAACTAATAAATAGTTTACATATTTTGTATAATTTATATAAATTTTACTCATTTATTATATAGTTGATACTTTTTTTTTTTGAAAAAAAAAAAAAGATTAAAGAAACTTTACCTGACCATACGTTCCAAGTATGATTTCATTGTTGCCATCGCAATCAAGGTCAGTAATGCAAGAACATGTGACACTGTCAAAGTGATCAGATTGGTCAAGAACCACCATTTCATTAAGCCCTTTCTCTACAACATTTCTAAAACAAATTACGGATAGTGGTAAATACACCATATTACTATCTCTTTTAAAACTGACACAACTTATTCTCATTAACTGTAAATGATTAAAATTTTAAATCCCCTAAAAAATGATTAAAATTTTTAATCCCCTAAAAAATGTGTGTATATATAGATATATTTTTTTTAGGGGATACATACTTGAAGTACTTAAATAAATTGTAGTCTTTTTATCAGAATATACCATATATATAAAAAATAAAAGCGCTCGCTTCATAAATGAGTGGTTCCGAGTTCGATCCCCACCACGTCCCTGGTAGTACCGCGCTCAACTCGTTTCTCCGCGCAGCGGCCTTGTTCGTCAAGGTTCGTGTTTCAGAGTTATAGAGTTGAGAGAGGGTTATAGCCACAAATAAGTAGCCTCCTCGTCTGTGGTGGCCTTCTCGGCCTTGAGGAGGTGAATTAAAATAAAAAAAATATATATATATATATACATGCATATATAATATATATATATAATATATATATATATATATATATATATATATATATATATATATATATATATATATATATATATATATATATATATATATATATATATATATATATATATATATATATATATATATATATATATATATATATATATATATGCGAATAGATTCTGATATCAAATCCAGTAAATTTGTTCAACCATGTTATCTTTAGGTGTTCCTGTACCAAAAAAACACTGTGTTTATTAATTTAAGAAATATGCTGTGCCTATCTTACAATAATTACAGTAGATAAATTAACACTTTGGCTACTGTAAAGTGATTTTTTGTTGATCTTTAGGCTTTTTTCCAGTCATACAACAAACTTTAAGATTTTTGCCTCATTTTGTTATCAAATGTTTGTTTTTTTTCAAAATACTGTTACTGGAGCCTTCGATCAAACAAATCCATATTCAAAATGGTTTCCTTGAAAAATTGGGTAAAGGACTTTCGATCTTTTGTTGTAAACTAAGTTAGATCAAAACATATTAATGTGAATCAAAAATATATAAATAGATTTTTTCTGTGGCTATTTTAGGTGCCCTAAGAAGACCGCATCACAGAGCACTGCAGAAGAGCATTTAACTTGAAAGTTTACGCTTTCTTCATGTTGAAAAAATACTTAGAGTAGGCATTGAACCATAGATCAGTGAAGGATCCAGCATTTTTTAGTGTTTGAGCTAACAGAAATGGCGTAAACTCGAACCATTTGTATATTTATACTTATGTCAAATAATGATGCTTTGCAAAATATTGCGATGATTGGAGGCTGTAAACTAAAAAAGCCCTAAAATTTTATCCTCCCTGCCCCAAACATGAGAGCAAGAAGTTGGTTGGTACAATAATTTTTTTGAAATTCTGTACTTTGTTTATACTCTTAAATTTTAAGTTTCATAATAATATCTCTCAGAATACATAAAATACAACCAATAAAGTTTAAACCCCCTCAACTTGAGTGGGTTACAAATTTTATATAGTCATAATTTTTGAACACTTCGAGATTGTAAAACAATTCGTAAAACACTTGGAGATTGTAAAATTTATCGATGAATATAAATTTAGTTTAGAATAGCAAAAAAAATTATTTCATCAACTTGTTACTTTCACGTTTAGGACAGGGGGAATAAAACTTTAAAGCTTTTTTTGTTCACAGCCTCTAATCATTGCAACTTTTTAAAAAAGCATCATTATTTGAAATAAATATAAACATAAAATTGTTTGGATTTTGCTCCATGTTAGCATCTCAAACACCAAAAAATGCTGGATCCATTACTGCCACAAATCTCTTGTTGTATTCTATTGATCTCTTTAAGTATTTTATAACTGAGAATAAAAACCTGCCTGATTTTCGAGAAATGCAACTTGAATTCCATGAAAATTAAGGCGCATGAAACAGCTCCATATTTATTAATTTTCACCTAATAGTCTGATTTTTTCACAATAACTCACAGTTAGTTCACAATAATCTCTGCACTTCTCAAAAGTCTATATGTAAATAATTTTAACTTATTCATTTCGTTTTTGCAAATTTTAATATGAAGCAGTTTTATCTTTACCTTACTGTTTTTTAACCTTTAATCGCTTTTTTTTTTTGCCGAGAAGGCTACTACAGACGAGTAGACTACTCAATAGTGGTTATAACCCTCTCTCAACTCTATAACTCCAAAACACGAACCTTGACGAACAAGGCCGCTGCGCAGAGAAACAAGTTGAGCGCGGAACTACCAGGGACGTGGTGGGGATCAAACTCGGAACCTCTCGCTTATGAAGCAAGTGTTTTACCACTACACCACTACCGCATGATATACTGTTTTATGATATAAATAGTTAATTCCCCAGCTTAACAGTTTAATTTACGGCTACAGCTAAATGAAGCTCTCTGACATGATGGCAGGAGGTTAACAAGAATAATGGTCGGCCAGGAAAATTAGCTGATCTTGTACAAACTCCTTTTTAATAGCCAGGGCTTAAAGTGGGTAAATTGTATGAGATAAAAAGCATCTAGCAAATTTCTAATTGATGTGCAATGGGCCTCAATGCTAACGTGTTTAAAACACAATCAGTATAGATAAAAAAACCTTCCATTACTTGTAATGAAAGGTTAAATTCGTTATTATATAATTAATGATTTGTAAATTTATTCACGCGGATTGTTTAAAAATGCCTGTAAAACCTCAAAAAATGTAAAAATTTTAAACTTTAAAAGAGTGGCGCGAGTATAAATAGTCATCTAAAATAAAAAAAATTCATGAAGAAAACAATACCTCAAGAGTATTTTGCAATAATCCACGTATTAAAATTTGAAAACTATGCTATTCGTTGTATAGTAATAAAATAATTAAGCTACTCGGGCGTTGTAAAAAATATTAAAATTGATTTTGTTTATAGAGAAACAGAGAAATTTTTAATATAATAAAAATAATAAAAAAATAATATAATATAAGATAATAATGTAAATAATATAAAGATAATAAAAATAATATAAAGATAATAAAAATAATAACAAAAATGTTAAAATAAGTTATTAGAATTTTTTTGTTTTGTCCCAAAATAACTCTAAGTTGTTTAAATCAGTTTTATATGTTTTAACCACTGTCTTTAATTTTATATGTTTTAAAAAAATCTGTCTTTAATTTTATGTTTTTAACAAACCTGCCTTTTATTTTATATACATATCATTGATTGGTTATATTTGATTTATAAGAAAATAGCAAATAAAATATAAATAAGATATAAAAGTATTTTATATCTTATTTTGCGTTTTTTTTTTTTTATTTAATATATTTGATCACTGCTAAATTCCTTGAGACTGTTTAGATCATATAAATACTAAAGTTTACACAAATATGTAAAGTTATTGTATGCCAGCAAACATATATGTTTGTATTCATATACATCTATATTATGTTTGTATAAATGCACCTATTAGCTAACCTCCTAGATCCAAGCAGGTATAGATGCTTATATTCCTTTTCATTAGTTTAAATTTATTAGTTTTTATTAGTAAAAACAAAGCCTCATTATATTCAACATTTTTCACCGTTTTGTACAGTTGCTATGTTACTATGTAATCATTTTTTTTTTCATCTTTTTTCAAGAATATCTTTATTGAGAACAAATGTATTTTTAATATTGCATAAAGTTAACGTGAAAAAATCCTGTCCGATAATAAACTCCATTATTCTAGTTTACTAAATCTTATCTCAGATGTTAGGTTCTTTGGAAAATCTTTAACAGTATCATTAAAGGGATCCCCAAGTGCCAAGACAAGTTGTGTTCATGCCATAGATAAAAATTAGAAAATAAGTTGATAAAACTTTCCAAAACAAATTATTAAATGAGATATTAACAAAAAACTTCTTAATTTTTAATGCTATTTTGTTTCTCGCGAAGAAAAGTTCTAACTCTTTGACTATTTTTTTTTTAATCCAGTCTGAATAATGCGCTTTTGTATTTAACATTTGACATCAATAAAAAAAAAAGTTTCTTTCAATATTAAAATTATTAATAACTACATTATTTTAGATCATATTATGATCCAAAAAAAGAAGAAATTTAACAACTAAAGGAGCACCATGGGTGACCAATAAATTAAAAAAATTATATCAACTTAAGACAACGTTGTGAAAACAAAACGTAGGAATACTGCAATGCAAGTAAAGATATAAAAAAAGCATAAAAAAAAAGCGAAAAAAAATTTCAAGTTCAATTTAGCAAACGACAAAAAAAATCCCAAAATACTCTTTTCATATATTAATTGCTAACTTAAAAAAGGGGACATGTCACAAAAAGTATTTCTCTCAGAAACTGAAAAAAAAAGGCATATTAGGCAAAGGAGATATTGTTCCAATTATATTATGATTTTTTTTAGTTGGTATGGTATAGTGTATTATGTATATAATATTAAAAAAAATCAACTTTATTATTGGTCACTAAAAAATACAATTTTGATTTGGGACATGTCTTCTTTTCCAGTTAACATATTGATTTTTTTATTTATGACAGTTTATAAGGTAAATAATAAATAAAAAAATGTACAAAAGAAATATATTTCAAAAAAAATAATAATAAATAAAAAATATTAAGAATTTGAAATAAATTTCTTATTTTTGAAACAAAAAAGTTATTTGATAGAATTTAAAAGAGGTACTGAGCTGAATAAATTTATTCCTCTTTTATATTAATACCCTGTCTAGTTGGAAGTTCCAAAATTTGTTCCCAAAAAGGCAAAAATTCTGCAGGTATAAATTTAATTGTTTTTCTAATATCTTCCATTTTAGAAGCAAGAATTGGAAGTTTTTCCGAATAAGCCATTGATGTTGGCATCTTTAGATCACTAGTTATTTTTTTCTTAAGTCAAATTTTTTCAATGAAGCCATCAATGAATTTCCTGCATGTAACTTCACCTGGTGTTTGATTGTTCATGTAAAGATGATGGAAAGAAAGAAATTGCAAATTTTGTTTTAAAAGTAGTTGACCTACCA